GAGAAAATCAAAGCATGCAAGAAGGCAGATTTTGTAACTCTTCACAGTGCGTGATTTGAAACACAAAACTTTCACAAAGTAATGGATTGTCATAAGATCATGAGTTTTTTTAGATCAAGAAAACAGAAATTTCTCAAATATGAGCAATTTTGACAAATATTCAGATACCGATAGAAAAGATCTCGCTGTACAACAGGATTTTGTTAAGCAAAGCTGACTGATTTTATTTGAATTAAAATTTATCGAGAGTGAAGTTAGAGAACATAAAAGAGCTCTCCGACAAGGTCGTTTTGCAATCCCAGGATTTGAGAGTTGGCCAATAATGGTGGGGTTATGTGACTACGTACAACTCGGTTCCACATCATAGGGGCTTAATGTAGGATTACTGTAGGTGGAAGATAGATGAAATTGGCTGAATGGTTTAGTGGGTTGAATGACACTTTTATCACGATAATCACCTCCATTTCTGATGGAGTTTCAAATCAATGGAGTGGGTTGATTCTGTGCTTATTGTAGGAGTATGTATCTATGAATTTGTGTTGGGCATATACATACAATCTATGTATTTTCCACGCTCATGTGGGATCATCAAATTTACGGGATCTACGCTAAGTCTTGTACTGCTCACCCAATGTTATATCAAACAGTGAAATAAAAGCAATTACAGCGTCGTATGGAAGGCCTCTGAGCCTTTTTTGTAAGAACGTCAACAGCCAATTCCACCACCTGACAATTAAGTTAAGATAAAATGTGCGAATATGCGCAATAGATATGAATTTGTAGCCATGAACTCAGTAACCTTACTAGACCATTGCTCAGCCAGATTTGTTTTGACCGTCTCTAGTCTTCCTTCCATTATCCTAGGGTAGATCCCAGCTGTGCGGAACGGATATGTATTCAACAGCGCGGCAATAACCCCGTGAATAGAAGTTTCTACAAACTGCAGAAAATTGGGATATCAAAAAGAACTATCTTGCTCTTCAATTTTTACTGCAACGTCCAATCAACTATGACCATCTCGGTTTTGATTACCATGCAAACTTTCTTGTAGTACGGGCTCTATTTTTTAAAAAGATTTTAGTCGTATGTGAGCCCACGCTAGAAGTTTTGACTTTTCGGAATTTTCTATGAGCTTGAAAAAACCGCATAGACTTATCCGACTACCCAACAGTGCATACCTTGAAAGTCCACCAGGCTCGTGCAGCCCAAATCATTCCACCCATTGCACCTCTCGAATAGATAACCACATGATCTCCTTCATTTATACCAAGCAATTGAACATATTTCTCAAACATTTCTGGGGGATAAAGATCAAAGCGAATATACCTCAATAAATGATAGATATTGCGAATTTTATAAAACGAGTTTACTTTTAACATACTGGCTGGGATAGTAAGCTACATCAACATTGAAGTGGGTCGCTCCAGGGATGTGTTCTTTAGCATATTCTTCACCAAAGTTTGTCTAAAAGCAGAATATTATTCTTATTTACTTTTTATTGAGGAAATTCTTATTACTGTAAAGAAACTTGGTACGCAGTAAAATAATCAAAAAAAACCATAAACTTTGGATAAGCATCGTAAAGAAAATAAAACTCGTTTATTCTGATTTAATTGTTGCGATAAGTTTCATACAACCGCATAGAAAAGAAGAGGAGTAAAGAGATCCAAGAGCAGGATTGCAAAATATGCTTAGAAAAAGTACTTAAATGAAGATACAACAAGTTGATAGACACGATGCATAGGTAAAAAAACTAGAGAAAAGCAGCTTTCATTAATTCAAAAAACTTGTTATTTGGCAAATGTGAGAACAGAAGGTAAAAACAAATCGAAAGAATTGCAAAATGTGTAGGATTGCTCCAAGGTCTTAATGGTCAGTCAAATAGCCGTACTTAAGTATTTTCCACTGTTAGGTTAAAATCAGCAGTAAAACAATACCGTAACAAAGCTTACCTTGATGTTCATTAAATCCTCGAACTTTCCATAGTATTTCTCTTTAAACTCTTTATAATCGGGCTTTCTCTTCATATCATAAGTTGCATCTAATAGAACCACAGAATCCTGAAAGAAACAGATTAAAGGGGCAAGAATAACTGCAACCTATTTTTCTATATGTTATTTCTCAAATTTAGGTGTAAAAAAGCGACATATGTTTCCAAGACAGCTCCTGCATACATGATTTTTCTATTAGCAACAATTTTGAGAGTTTGGTGAGAATTACGGGACATCTACTATAAAATACATAGAAAAATAATGACTGATTTGACGAAAACATACGAAAATGTATTTTTCCACACGATGTTTGGATGAAGTAACAGCATTGATGTGTTCAAATCTCTATTTCACTTTGATATTTATATCCATAAAAAGTCCAGCTTGAT